GATGGTACAGTATCATGCAGCTTCACAATCACACGCCAGCGGGACTGTGGTACTCTGCTGATGGTACAGTATCATGCAGCTTCACAATCACACGCCAGCGGGACTGTGGTACTCTGCTGATGGTACAGTATCATGCAGCTCCACAATCACACGCCAGCGGGACTGTGGTACACACCCACTCTGCTCATTAAGTTTCTTCAGTACGTTTCATTTGGTCTTTCTGAACTGTTCTAAAAGTTGATTTAACATGAGGAAAATTGTTTTAGTTATATTGTTGCCATGATGATTATTATTATTACATTAATAATAATAATAATAATAATAATAATAATAATAAAACAACTACTACAACCACAACAATAATAGAACAACAACAATAATAAAATAAAAACAATAACAACAATAATAATAATAATAATAATAATTGTTCTTCTTGTTCTTGTTGTAGTATTAAAATAATAATCATCATCATCATCATCATCATCAATTTTCCACATCCGCATATCCAATACATCATGTAGGTGATTCTGGAGTGTATTCCAGGAAGCAGAGGGTATTTATAAGGAAGAGGACACTATGGACAGTCCATTGTGCTAGACACATATACCACGCTATGTTCTCAGGCGGAGCATGTAGACTTGACCCACACTATGGCAAATTCTCACATCCTGACTTCTGCACACACAGAGTGGTCCGTCTTGTTCCACACAATGTCTTAAGGCCAAGGTATTGCTTTAATCACTCACTGACACGTACCTCCTTCTTTGAAGTAAGCAAGCAGAGTGGCCTCCTGTCCAGGCCAGGTGTCATAGATTGGAGACACTGTGATCCTATACAATTTAAATGGCTGGCCTAGCAAAAATAAGGCAAGGGAAACCTACTGTTAGAGCAAGGTGGGATAGGCTGAGACAATATTGCCGTGGCGAAAAAAGGATCATTATTACAATCCCTGAATGCTGTTTCATTGCATTAAAAGCTGGCCCTAGTGTTGTTTGGATGTATGGTATACAATAACAATGCAGAATGCCACTTTATTAATATTTAATTTACATGACTTATTTATTACCATTTTTTGTTTCCAGACAAATAACAAAAATGTGTATGTGCATGTGCTTTGAAAAAATCCAGTCAATTATTTATGAGCTAAAAAAAAGAATAATGATGCTAGTTTAGAGTGTAAGAAACAGGCGATATCGGCCGTGGAAGAAAATAACCTTCCTACACGACAAATATATTGCAAGTATAAAACATTTAGTAAGGAAAAACTATAACTAACATTCCATCCATCCATTTTCCAAACCACTTATCCTTCTGGGTCATGGGGGGTCCAGAGCCTATCCTGGAAGCTACAGGCACAAGCTGGGGAACAACTCAGGACACAGGGTTGCCACACACACACACCAGGTACAGGTACAGCCACACTCAAACATCATTCACTGACACACCATTCACACCTATAGGCAATTTAGTAACTCCAATGAGCCTCAGCATGTCTTTGGACTCCACACACATGTAACCCAGGCGGAGATTCGAACCCGGGTCCCAGAGGTGTGAGGCGACAGTGAATTCCCACAGTGAATTTTGCTGAGCCAAGCAATAATTATATAATTGTGAGGAAAGTGCGTAAATGTTTTGTACCCATGTCTGAAAACACCTCAGACTTATAAAACATTATTTTAATATGCTGTATTCAAACTTCCAGCTATTAGTAGAATTTTTTTGCCATCAATGGAAAAGACCAGATTTAAGACACCAATCTCGATTTAAACCAACACTATATATTATAGCTCACCTATCAGTGAGGTGCTTGTGCTTTGACTTTCAAGCCACCCGATGTCATCATCACCACTCGACCATTCCACCATGTAATGGTTCACTGGCGATTGGGGAGGGGCCCACGTGACATATAATTGGCTGTTTTCGGGAAACGCCTGGAGCTCTTTCACTGGAGGACGCTCTGAAATTCATGAAGAACCAAAGCTCGAATACAAACGCAGAAGAAAATAAACAATAAAAAACATGCACCAGTGCCATTTTCAGAACAGGGTAGTAATGACATAATAGAAGGATGCATACAGAAAAACCACTGCAGCTACAAGGCGCACTGTACCTTCTCCTATGGCAGGTACAGTGATGAACACTTCTGGAGACGTGCTGTCATTTTTATACACAGCTATGCTGATTCGATACATTTCCCCATCGAGGACCAAAGACGTATTTGAGTCCAGTATATTGAACCAAAGCACAGAGAATTCCCCGCTGCGCAGGTTCCCCACAGTCACTTTGTAGCCGTCTATATTGCAGGATGGCTGGACTCCCTGAAGGAAAAGCAGCACTGAACAATTACTGAATGTGCGGGAAAAATAAAATCTTTACATACAATTATTCAATTTAACCAAAGTCCATTAGACATTAATCTGGTGTGTCTTAACTTGGAATGTTAATATAAGAACAAACAAGAATTGTTCCTTAAAAGTCAATTCTTACGTAAGTCTGGTTTCACTTGGTTTTTTATTGCCTTTAATCCAAAAAAATATTTTTTAACAGCGGAGGAGCCAGGGGGTGGAATGGCACCACCCCCTTTCAAACTGGTCCCATCTCTCAGGTACCCCACCCCTCGCAAAGTACCCCCACTGTGATTGATATCAATCATAGAATAGGAGGATGCCATTCTGCAAGCACCTGTTTTTGCTGTTGACCGCGCTTGCCACCTAAAACAATCTGGGGCCTCCACTATCAAGGTATACAGTCGTTGCCACAAATATTAATTTTTACAAAGTCTGCTGCCTCAGTTTTTATGATGGCCAGAATGTTATGAAGAGTGATCAGATGAATTGCAATTAATTGCAAAGTCATTTTCTCTGAAGAATCCCCTCTCCGATTGCTTGGGGCATCCGGAAAAGATTTTCGGGAGAAGAAGAGGTGAGCACTACCATCAGTCCTGTGTCATGCCAACAGTAAAGCATCCTGAGACCATTCATGCATGGGGTTGCTTCTCAGCCAAGGGAGTGGGCTCACTCACAATTTTGCCTAAGAACACAGCTATGAATAAAGAATGTTACCAAAACATCCACCAAGACCAACTTATCTGAACCATCCAAGAACAGTTTGGTGATGAACAATGCCTTTTCCAGTATGATGGGGCATCATGCCATAGGGCAAAGTGATAACTAAGTGGCCCGGGGAACAAAACATCGACATTTTGGGTCCATGGCCAGGAAATTCCCCTGACCTTAATCCCATTGAGAACTTGTGGTCAGTCCTCAAGAGGTGGGTGGACAAACAAAAACCCACAAATTCTGACAAACTCCAAGCATTGATTATGCAAGAATGTGCTGCTATTAGTCAGGATTTGACCCAGAAGTTGATTGACAGCATGCCAGGGCGAATTGCAGAAGGGCCAGCACTGCTAATATGGACTCTCTGCATAAACTTAATGTAATTGTCAATAAAAGCCTTTGACACTTATGAAATGCTTCTTATTATACTTCAGTACACCATAGAAACATCTGACAAAAAATCTACAAACACTGAAGCAGCAAACTTTGCGAAAACCAATAGTTCATTCTCAAAACCTTTGGCCACGACTATACACATCATCCATTAGTTCCTCAGCATTCATTAGATGCCCCATTCACATCCTTCCACATCATCAACAGCTTCCATATTACCTTCCACATCAGCATTACCCTTCTGTATCCTCTCCCATCTGGTGCATCTATTTTCCTCCAAAGGTGGATCTTAACAGCTTTCACTGTGAAAACAAAGAGCCAGAAACCCATCCACCGTGAGCAAACCCACCTCTGACCACGGTGACCCAGACATTTCTCGCGCTCCACAAAACCAGCGGTTCTTCTTAGATTTACGGATTCACTTATGAGCGGATTCAACAGGACGTAAAAATAGCTTTCGTACTTTTACCGATCTCATACATCTTTCCCTCCACTCATTGTTGCATTATGTCCAACCTGGGTTTGTGCCATACAGTCTCCTTACCATCCAGAAGTGAGAGAACAGTAATGTTGCGACTCCAATCACTCCAATACTCTTTCTTCACCACAGTGTCTGGTGCACAGCGGACTGATACGGTGTAATTAACGCAAGGTCGCTCCACAACGATTTCAGCATCTCCCAGTTTGGCCCCCTATTAAATAAACAATCAGATCTCAACATAACACGCAAAGAGAGAGAGAGAGAGAATTCAGATGAGTACAGCATCTTGCTCAATAATAAAAAAAACCACACATCATCTAAACTGGAAAAAATAAAACTCTCCGAAAATGTTACCTTTGATTCTGAAATGTTTTCATACTGGTACAACAGTTCACAGTTTATAGCTGAATCGGGAAATAAGTCTTCTTCTTGTATTTCCCAATGCACTTGAAGCTTGTGCAGCAATGGCTTCACTGTAATATTCGGTGTCCCTATTTTCCCTAGGGTGCAGAAATAAATTAAGCTGCTGTTACTTAGAGCAATGTTTTGGCCACAACATTTCAAATGAAATAAAAGTTATAATATTAATACTGTAAGGAATTGCTTCTCCATCCATTGCATACATTTTGCATGGTTTCAATAACAGAAAAAGTCAAAAGAATGCAAGATAGCCTTATATAACCAGGTGATGTAATTAAAACACTTGTTTTGTTTTGTTTGTCTCTCCATGGCCAGGCTGATATACTGGACACACATCCCTTATTCTGGAAGCTGACTTCTTACACAGGTAGTCAGAAAGGTAGGACACCTGAAAACAATATGAAGTGTCCAACCAAGTTTCCTCACGCAGAACATACTTACATATGCTCAAAGTATCGATTCTCACAATGTCAGACTCCACTGATCCAACTGCATTTTGGGCCTTCACTGTGATGTTGACTGTATCTAGTATTACAGATTTAATTGTGCAGTGATCCGTCTTAGACGTGCAGCTGTACATCATGCTGAAGAGTAATACAAAAATTGACTTGAATAGTGAGCACGTTAAAGCCCAAAGCACGCAACAAGTCTCTATTACCATGAGCATGTAGGTACTTTTTGCTCTCTGTATAAAAAATCCAGTTTTCTGGAATCGAAGTATAGTATCATCATAAACTTTTTCCAAAATGTAAGCATATTCCAGTCTAAATGAGAAACATCAGAGTGCCATCTGTTCATCTTACCCACTGCATGAAGTAAATGTCACGTATACAGTATACTCCGTGCCCGAAACTGTATTTTCGCCACTGTTCCAGTGGCATGTAAATTTTTCGAAGGCAAATAAAATGCAGTGTATTTTGGTTGGTTTCACTGGTGGGACTGGGGAAAAAAAAAAAATCTTCATACAGATTTGTAAGTGTGGCAAATATGCATATTTTTTTGTGTCATTGACCGATGACAAGCGTTAAATGTTTTATATTTAATTCAGCAATTTAGGGGGAATTTCCCAAGGAGACTGAGAAAAACAACACTCACGTAAGACAGTGATGTTAGTGCCTCCCAAAATGACATCCACTCCGTGTAGATGCATGTAACATGTCACCATGCCGCTACTCTGAACGGTGACAGCCGACATGGTCGAATTTACAATGTAGAAGTCTTCAGCAATCTTCTTATCGTTTAATTTCCAGATTAGTTTGTGTGGACTGTAAAAAGGAACACTGCCACAAAAACTGCCCTGGGGAGAACCGAACATGATTTGGATTTCAGAACCCATCTTAATAACGGGGTCTTTTGGGAAAACTCCACAGGTTTCATGTTCAGCTGTTCAGAACAGAAAAGAAATTATGAATGTCACAACAATGATCAATAGGTTCCAACAAAGCATAAAATTATACAGTTATTCAATTTACAAAAGTATTGAATAAACTGAATACTGAATTGTGAGTCAATAAATATCAAACTTGTGAATCGTTTGAAAAAGAGGGAAATTATTTGAACTTACCCTGGCACACCACGATAACAATCAAAAACTGAGAGAACACAAATAGAGACATTCTGCCTTTTGCTTCCCACTGAAAATAAACACAACATATATCATTAAACGTTTGAGTTTTATGTATTGGAATTTTTCATTCCAAATCCAACTGAAGCAGCATATATGCCACTTTGGCCCCTCATAATTAATTTTGATTGATTGAGTCATTAGCAATCAATTAGCTTGATTGAGTTATTAGCTAACTGACAAATGATTGCAGTTAAACCAAACAGCTTAGCTGAAGATTTAAATTGCGTTACACTACACTGTCATTAGGAATAATCTTGTCTTGCAGTCTGAGAAGTAAACATGGACTGTTTTCAAAACAGTTCATTTACAAATGAGTATTATATCGATATTAAACAATTGCCTCTGTGAAACTATAAGAAGTGTGTGACAGAGCAGCACCAGTAGCAAATATTACTGTATGTAAGAAATTCATCATGAATTTGTAAGCATGGAATAATTACACTCTTACCTACAGTGGGAGTTTTTGGCAATTACATGCAATTTGCAAGATTTCCTGATGAAGCACATTCAGATAACTTCGTATCTGGAAAAGACTCTGCATAAAATCAGCAGGGGAAAAAAATTAATAATTTGAAAAGTTGTGTCCCATCAGTTAACATTACAAAGTAATAAAACGACAGCTTATAAAGTCTGATGTTCTATTGTATTCAGAAATACGCATTAAACCAGCCACACTTTATGACACAAAGTGCTATTTCCACTAACATAAATTTTTAAGAACCGTCACAATAAGCCACACAATGTGTTCTGGGCAGATGTAAGCCAACACCCTCTATCACTCAACAAAGAGAAGTTAATTGTTTGGAAGCATCTGGACTCATTTACCGCCCCCCGCCCGCCCAGTGCCTTTCCCATGCACATGTAAACACACAGGCCTGAACAAACAAGAGAGGACCATCTAAAGTTACATAATCAGACCTAACCTCATATATGCGCTTACAAGGTATATAGATGATAGATGGCTGACTAGGTTAGTTCTGATTGTCCTGTTTTATATATCAAACATGCAAATACTTCAATGCTCTCGTGATGTGGTTTTTTTAATTGTACGGATCAAATTTCTGAGCGGAATCCATTTTAGGTACTTTTCCGATTCAAGGAAGACAATTAACAAAACCATTATCATTTCAAAGCCATCTGCATAAGAACAGATCGATAACCAGAACGCAGCATCATTCCGTCAGGCACTGCCTGGAAAGGTCTGAAATCATGTGGAAAGAATCAGACTGTTATATGGGATGGTGTGTAGGCTGGCGTGACACACCAGGCCCATGCAAAAATGGGTGGTTAGAGGTCATCACCCTTCTATAGACAAATGAGACAGAGGGAGATTTCTGGCCACAAACAGAAATGCAAAAAAAAAAAAAATCCTTATACCTTTAAGAAATACATGACTATAATGACACACTCAACTGTAATGACCTGGAGTGTTTCTGCTAAGAGATGAACAACACTCATTCCAAACCAAAAAGCTATTATGAATTTATCAGGGCAGTGGTGGCTTGATGGTTAAGGAAGTGCACTTGTAATTGAAAGAGTGCAGGCTCAAATCCCCGACCAGCAAAGCACCACTGAGGTACCCTGAGCAAGGTACTGCTCCCCGGGTGCTGAATTAGCTGCCCCCTGCTATGTCACAAAAGTCACACATGGGTTAAATGCAGAGGACACATTTCATTGTGGTGTGTTGACAATGACCACTGATCACCTAATTCTAATCATGTGCAATGCTATTTTTGCAAGAAATGAGCCCACTGGAGATGACATGGGAAGCGTCAAGAAATTCTACTGATCAGGGTTCAGAAAGCCTGTACTGCTGCTCTTTGGGTGCGTTTCTCATGAGAATACGACAGGGAAACAAAGCAATTGTTGGAGTCACAACTCCGCCGGGTCCGTTGATGAGAATGATTAACCCTTCACAACCCTCATGCAATTGTTACTATACAACAGTGCCATCAAGGAACGCCACAGAACTTAGGGTGATCAGATAATCCATGTGAGGGAGGGGACACTTTCAGCTAGTACAGCTTTCACAAGCTGCTTTAAACTGAAAGGCTCCTATGCTTGACTAAAGAGTTCAATTCTTCTTTTGCTTTGCCTGGTTTGTTTCCCTGATTGAAAGACTCATCCAGCTGTTTCACATTAATATTAGTGATACATGCATGATTATGGGATTAATCAGCACACAGCAAGATCGCAGTGCTTAAGTGAAATCTGGGTCTTTCTTAAAATGGTAGTTTACAAATCCTGCCTACCTGAAAGTGTACTCCCTAACTGCATTCTCAGGTCACCCTACCTAATTAGCAAAGCTTTACGCAAGCAATCTGTCACACCCCGATCGTGCCGATCCTCCTGTGCCACGCCCCCTCGTTAACCTCATGTGGATTCCCAGTGTTTAACAGCTGTTTCTGATTGTTATCATTAGTCCAGTGTATTTAGTCCGCGTTTCCGTTCGTTTCCCCAGTCCGGTCATTGACGTTACGTGTGTTTTGGAGTCTGTTACCCCAGCAATAAAGCCCTTTTTGTTCATATTCACGGCTTCCGAACAGCGATAGTCCGGCCAACTGAGTCTGATGGGTCAGACTGACAGATAAAATTAATTCATGATGTACCGAAAGCGCCAAAATTAAATAAATAGTGAAATAATTATATATCACATTAAATGAATAAGTATTGTTTTTATTTCACATTTTAAATAATTCATGACAATTTAATTAATGGTGTTTTATTCCAAATTTTATATAATTCATGACACATTTATTTAATCTACTCACCCCTGTTCTCTGGAGGTCATCTGGTAGTAAAACAATATATATTTACTTGAGGTTCTGATGTGTAGGAGTTCATAGCTGCAATTTATGCAAATGGTTAATGATTTGTTTAATAAAATGTTTCGAAATGTAGTTCTCAATCTTTCCATTTCTTAACTGAATATCCCCCATTCTTGTGTGGGATTGTTTTTTCTGAGCAGTCTTCGCTATATCGTATCAGTTCAGACTGTATGAGAACCATAGCAAACTTCAAAATCATGAAGATCTCCCAACCATCTGTTCATTGGCAACAAATTACACATACACAGCTGCACTTCCTGCCGAATGTATGCATGATCCAGGGCCCGGAACCTGGGTGTTCTGGCGCCCTCGGCGGACACAGGGAATCTGGTTGCTAACTAGCACGTTTCATGAGAAAAACAGGGAAACATTAAAACTAGTGTAAGTAACTGTAATATCACGGAATACAACCAGGTGTACTTCATCTTAGTTTTTCATTCTCTCTTTTGCGCCCCTCAATTAAATGGCGCTCTAGGCGATCGCCTATGTCGGCTATAGGGCGCACTGACCTTTGCATGATCACTGACGACCATACCAAGGGCATAGTTTCAAAGAGCCGATCCAAACCATCTAATACTCTGTTGTAGGGTCAATTAAATCTAAAAAGTTGTTAAATATTAATGACAATATCGCAAAAACAGAAGACGTGCAATAAAATCCCAAATGCAAATTGTTTCAGCTGTAATATCTAAAATATATACGACGCCCCACATAGCAGTGAATCGTCCAGCAAGCGTCCAATTGCTCTACGAAGAAACATGTCATTTTGGAGACGTGGGTCACTGAGACCAACGAAATTTATCAGGCACGTTATAAAGACGCACATAATTTATCAAAGAATACTCCGCATTATATACACGTGTAATAATTCAAATGTGACGATTAACGCCTAACTAAAACGTCCAATGTCTGAAATTAATCTAAGAGTATCGTTAATGTTCAAAACTTCCTTTCATGTAATGAACATGATTCCTCAGTCACTGAACATTCCAAAAACAGCCATATTTAGTTTTAATAGCAACTAATATAAGTAAATAACAAATAATCAATATACATCGGTAAATTGCGATTTCCAGAACTTACTGGAATCCGGTCCGGCAACGATCACCCTGCGTAAGCGGACATGTAGGATCAGAAGCGAAATCGGTCAACAAGCATGAAGTGAGGGAGTCTCGGTGAGCGAGGCATGTGAGCGCTAACGGTAAGGAGCATTTAAGGAAGTTTCGAAAGCCAGTGTTTTTTTTTCTTCAAGATATATTCGAGGAAGTTGCTCAGCTCACCATCAACACCACTGGAACAATCCTCCTTCTGAAGAGCCGCGCCTTTGCATGACCCTTTTAGTATTTGCGTTCATCATATATAAACCTCGTTTTTAATTCATTGGAAAGTGGCGGAGCAAATGCCATTAAAAATATAAATGCCAGGCTTTTCAATATTTACAATGAAACAATTTACAGGATGCTAACTTGCATATGACATTCAACTGAAAGTCATATAAACATCCCGCGATGTTATCGCCTACTTTGGTATATTATATAGAGAAGATAGGACGTTATAGCTGGGGGAAATGTATTTGATTCATCTTTGTTTAGTGCATTGTTGTTTAGTTGTTTCGGCAACTCCCTTTTGAAAAAAGCATTCCATGCATAGAGCGTCAGTTTAGCTTAAAAACGATAGTGCACAACAATAAGCACTTTCTGCCAGCTGGAGATTTCGGAGAATGACGCGTGTGCCCTTAGGAATACCCGCCGGAGAGTTACCAGCGAAATACGTGCAAACAGATTTTATACCTGTGAGGGCATGTTATGTTGCCGTTGAAGGCATTCATTAAATAAAAAGCCTTCAGGCATAAATGTGTAAACAGTGCCAGACACGAAACTATAAGACAGAACTAAACTACAAACTAAACTACATATTTTGCTAATTTTTAAATAACCCGTGACACTACTAAGACCAAATTAACAAAACTCTCAGCAGCACGTTTCCTCCTATTTTAGTGAGGAAGCATCCACATCCTCCACGACTTATCAGCCCCAGGTTATAAGTTGTAAAGTCTGTCAAGCTCTTGGGGAAAACAATCAGCTGAGACTTGGGATGGGAGACTCACAACACCGCCACCATCAAAGGAACTCATCAGAGAATATTTTTCCTCGGGCTGCCGCGAAAAACGGCTGGCGTGAGATTTTCCATTCGAGACAAATCCGCGCATACATAGGCCTTTACGTACGTGTAACAGTTTTATTACTTTGTACATAATCTGTAGGGTTTCCATACTACCCCAACGCTTTTGATCCATATTTATCATCCAATTTTAGGTTTATAATAGAAAACAGATTTGCCGTACGATTTTTAATAATTTTTTTTTTGCGTGAGCGTGAGAATAGCGCCAGATGCGCTACCTACAGAGCCACTATTATAAGCGTCCTCATCTCATTTATCACTGTATGGTACCATCACCCGATGCTGCAATAAAACACAGGCTGAAACGTACCGTGTGATCAGCTAGGAGGCTGGCAGGCTAGGAGCATGTGCCTGCGGGGGTCCAGCACGACGCGAGAGCCGGGAAGCCAGCCAAAAACGTTGAGTCGGACTCACACCATCTCGCCCACTTCCTCTTCAGTCGGCACCACACTGTTCACAGGTTCCGCTCATTCAGCTCCAGGACCACCAGACACCTTAACTATTTTCTGAAAGCCGTAAACATCCTTAATAATCTTATACACAAGTCAGTGTTATACTTATACCGTTAACTCAATTTTCCGTTTTTCATTTTATTGCTGCTGCTGTCCAGTTGTACCATTTTTAATTCTTAATCTC